TTTGCCTGAGCTTCATCTGTATATCAGAAAATAAAATTAGCACTGTTTCTTAAATTCACAAGGTATTTAAAAAAAAAAAAAATTTTTTTTTTTTTTGAGAAAAGGCCTCACTGTGTGACTCTGTGTGGCCCGGAACTTGATTTGTAGACTAGGTTTGCCTTCAACTCACAGAATTTTACTTGCCTCTATTTCTTCAATGCTGGGATTAAAGGCAGTCACCTCTTCAGCTAATGATTGTTCTCTTTAAGCAAAGATAATTCAAAATGCCCCAACACTATGTACTTCAAGTTGTGCGTGTTAGTAATTAAAAGGTGTTGGACACTGGTATCTACACTACACTAGCTGGTTTTATGTCAACTTGACACAAGCTGAAGTCATCTGAGAGGAGGGAACCTCAGTTGAGAAATTGCCTCCCTAAGATTGGGCTTTAGGCAAGCCTGTTGGGCATTTTCTCAATTCGTGCTTGATAGGGGAGAGTCAAGCCCATTGTGGGTAGTACCATCCCTGGACTGGTGGTCCTGGGTTCTATAGGAAAGCAGGCTGAGCAAGCCATGAGGATCAAGCCAGAGAACAACCCTCCTCCATGGCCTCTGCATCAGATCCTGCCTCCAGGTTCCTGCCCTGCTTAAATTCCTGCCCTCGCTGCTTTTGATGATGAAGTGTTATATAAAACTGTGAGTGAAATTAACCCTTTCCTCTCCAAGTTGCTTTGCTTATGGTGTTTCATCACTTCAATAGTAACCTTAACTTAAAACAGCGTCTTAAGAGTACAACCATAAATAATTTATTTTTTAAAGTATTTATTCATGTGTATTTGCTTTTCTAAAAGGAACTAAAGCCAAGAGTTTATAGAGAACATTTTCATATGCACATCTAATAATATCTGAATGTGTTCGAACTTTGACTTCTGTTCAGATTCTGTTCATGAATTTTTTTTTTCAGTCAGAGGCATATTTTCACCTTAGTATCGAGAGTGGGAAAACATAACCCCTCTGGCATTCTGACAAGGATGAAAATATTCTAAATGGACATTTTCTTCCCTATTTAAATAATATGTCCCAAGAGAGATTTTTTTTCCTAAGAATCTCTTCCTGGAAGAAGGAACATTCTGAAGACTAGTACCAACCTGAGAGGGAACTTAGGAAAGAGATGTCACACAGCCCTGACAACTTGTCAGATATTTTGTAGATGAGACTGGACCAGAGACAAGGATGAAGGGCAGGACCACATCTTGACCCGGGCTGCTTAATTATGTATTCCTGTTGTTCCTTATTTAAAACTAAACCTCATGAAAGGACATCCCCTTCTCAAATGGCTGCAAATGGGTGGTACTTTTTGTACAAGCTAGATATGTCATGAGGATCAGAGACTTGGTCTTAGAAGCCCCAACAAACTTGTCCCAGCCATTTGGTCACAACAGGACAAGCAATAGTGAAAAGCTGATTTATGCAATGTGACCTCTTAGGAAGTTCTGCTACCTACTCCCAACCCCGGCTGCCTTCTGGGTTAGTCATCGGGGTAAGGTGTACACAAAGGGCAAGAGTTCTGTGTGTGTCAGCAGTCACAATCAAGGTGCGTTCTCACCTATCGCCAACAGACCCATTGTTTCAGAGAGACTAGAAATCTCTCCTGAAAGATGATCTAACAGTTTTCAGAACTTTATGACATTTCTTCCTGGGAGATAAGTGTCTTCTCTGACTAGACCCAGGCTTCACATGTTTCCTTCTCTTCTCTCAGCATGAGATGCCTCCAGAAATTTCAATGTCTTGCACATTCAACGATTTGTAAATGTGTACAGATGGTTTGTCCACACATATGTCTTTGCATCATGTGCTTTCCTGGTACCCATGGAGGCCAGAAGCAAGCATCGCATATCCTGGAACTGAAATTAAAGACAGTTGTGAGCCACCATGTGGCTTCTGGGAGTTGAACTTTGCTATCCTGGAAGAGCAGCAGTGCTTTGAACTGCTAAGCTCTCCAGTTCAAATTCCAATTTCTCTCTCTCTCTCTCTCTCTCTCTCTCTCTCTCTCTCTCTCTCTCTGGTCCTTTTTAATATAAAAACATTTTATGTACAACTTCAGGAGAAATAATACACAGATAGCTTGAACATAAAAACAGGTTATAATTTAAAAGTCCAGGGTTATTTTATTATTATTATTATTATTATTATTATTATTATTATTATTATTATTTTGGTTTTTCAAGACAGGGTTTCTCTGTGTAGCTTTGCGCCTTTTCCTGGAACTCACTTGGTAGTGCAGGCTGGCCTCGAACTCGCAGAGATCCGCCTGCCTCTGCCTCCCGAGTGCTGGGATTAAAGGCGTGCACCACCACCACCGCCCGACTAGGATTATTTTAAACAGTAAAATATTTTCTTTGTAGAAAATAGTATAAATGAAAACATTTCCTAATAAGCCCTTTAAAGCCAAATGATAGCTGGATTATACATATACATATTGACTAGATGCTGGGATACAGAATAAACCTATCTTCATCTGTTCAGAGAGCTATGCTTTACTTAAATTTTGTAAGTGAGATTCCTATTCCTCTTCCCCTTCACTGTTTGATTTATGGCAGACATTTTTCTATAGGCTAATCCATATTCTAAAAAGATTTTAGTCTTCCCTCCTGAAAGTACGGCCAGCATTTTCTTTCGTCAGCTTGATACACTACAAATTCTTATCCTAATAGTGAAATGTTTCACTAAAGCTTGTCCAGTGATTGGGTAAAACCAAAACTTATTATAAGCCCACAGTCATCCTAGGGTCCTCCCTGCTAGATATCCTCCCTGGATCTGTGGGTTGCAGTCTGATTGTCCTTTGCTTTATATCTAGTATTCACCTACGAGTGAGTACATACCATGTTTGTCCTTCTGAGTCTGGGTTATCTCACTCAGGATGATATTTTCCAGTTCCATCCATTTGCCTACAAATTTCATGATGTCATTGTTTTTCTCTGCTGAGTAGTACTCCATTGTGTATATGTACCATATTTTCTTAATCCATTCTTCAGTTGACGGGCATCTAGGTTGTTTCCAGGTTCTGGCTATTACAAATAATGCAGCTATGAACATAGTTGAGCATGTATCTTTGTGGTATAATTGAGAGCATTCCTTGGGCATATGCCCAAGAGTGGTATGGCTAGGTCTTAAGGTAGATCAATTTCCAGTTTTCTGAGAAACCGTCATACTGATTTCCACAGTGGTTGTACAAGTTTGCAGCCCCTTGCTCTGCATCCTCTCCAACGTTTCCATTTTCTCATTTGCCAATTTCTCAGTGACTTTTTTTTTAATCAATAATCTGATAGCCCAAGGAAGATGTGCAAGCCTTTTAGAATATCCTTGTCCCTGCCAGAGTAGTTACAACTAGGTAGGTATGAATGATTTATTTGAGCCATCTCTGAGCTCTGGAGAACAGAAAGTCACGTCATAACAGAGCTTCAGTTGTTCTCAATAACAGAGAGTGACACCGAGGAGAATAGCCTTGGGGAAAAGATAACCCAGTAGAGTTAGAATAGCATAGTAATAGAGCCATTGGGAAAAGAGAATGATTTAAAAAATATCATTAGGAGGTTGGTTAAACCAACAGTATTTTATGTGTGTGATGTTAGGAATAGAACTCAGGGCATCATGCTTGCTAGGCAAGTATTCTGCCATCAAACTACATCCTGCACCATAAATTTGACTTTTGATCAATTATGAGAGACAAGGGTTGAAATAAGGAAACTCTTCAGCTCCAGTCTCTGCAAACTAGTTGGATATTAAAATCTTTCACCGAGAAACAGAAAAACAAAGGGAAAAGCTAGTTATAGAACTAAAGGTAATTTCTGTTTCATATGTATGCAGATTAAAATGCCCAGAGACACACAAAACAGTCATGTCCAGAAGGCACACAAGTCTGCGGCTCAACACAGAAATTCAGTTAAGTGTTAAGATCTATAACCACAGACATGGATTAAAACCCCCGGGCACAGCAATGGCGGAAGTAAAGAAGGAGCCAATCAGAGCTAAGACCCAAGGACATATTTAACAGGCAAGAAGAGGAAGTTTTAAACCATGAGGGGAAATGAATTTAGAGTTACAGATGTCAGTGGAACAACATGCTTCAAGGAGGGAGTGGTTAACCAAGAGTGAAAAGTCCTCAGCAGACTCATCTATAAATGGATTTTCCAATGACCACTATCAAAGTGGCTTCAGAGCCTGATGGAAAAGCTAGCTGGGTCACAGTGGCTTGAAGAAAGCCTCTACTAAGTGGGAAAATAATTAAAAATGTTATTTTTTTCAAATAACATGAGTGAAAGAAGAATAGAGGTAGAGGAATAACTGTCTGTGCATAGTCAACAAGCACATTTTCAAAAGAGTAGATGTTCCAGGGTATTTCATATTTGTAAAATATATTCAGTAGAAATTAAATGCATGAAAGCCAAATATTTTTATTTTAGAAATACATACTTTTTTTTCTAATGGGTGGCTAAAATCAAATATTGGGAAATTACACCGTGTTATAATAATATTGTATTTTCATGCAGTGTCCATTGTTTGTCCAATGTTAGAAGATTTATGTTATATGCAATATTTATTTGACTCATATTTTTCTTAGTGTAAGCCTGGTTTGAATTTTGTGATTTGTAAGATGTTTGAAATTAGACTTTCTGGAACATATCCATCCCTAGAGTTGTTTCACAGTAGTCTTTTCAACTTTCTGATTAATAATACCATTTATGTTAAGCAGCCAGGGTGCCAGGCCATGCTAATGTCAGGCTCTGTACACATTAAATAAAATCATAGTATAAATTAATGATAGGTTACAGTAATGAGAACAAAATTAGCCTTGGTATATTTCTGGCAAGTCTAGAGAAAGTTGAGCTATGCTCTCTACCACACACGTCGAGTTGCATCAGTGGTAACTAAGCACATCATTGCACATAGAAATGGCCAGGAATGTTCTGTACTTGGACCGATCCTGCCTCCAGTGGGACCAGGATAAAAGTCCAGTGACTCTCTAGGTTGAAGCAATTCTGAATTTTGGAAATATCTTGAAGAGCTGACTGAACGTCAAGAACCACCACTGATGAACTCCAGAGGTGACGAATTCCATGGAGACATGCGTTTGATGCAGATGGGCTACTTCAGTGATTCCACAAAGTAAGTTGAGAACAGAAGCAATGCCCATGGGGCTTTTGAACAGAAAAAAAAAAAAAGAAGCACAAGAGCTGAGTTGACACTTTTTGTCTCTCAATTTTTCTCTTCCAACAGATGCAATTGTAGAATTTTATTGCAGACAAAACAAATCATAAATGAAATGCTCCAGTAAGAGAAATTCTTGTCATTGTTTTTATAAAGCTGAAAAGGAAGGGATGTTCAATGTGGAGAGGATATGCTGCAATCTATGTCCACCACTTGTTTTGTTAAGAAAGTTTTATTTATGTGCAACTTATGGTTGTTTTCAAAATACAGACACAGACAGAACTGAAAAGCTGTTGCATAAATTTTATTGGTTGCAAATATGAAGATATTTATTATCATGCCAGCAGAGACAAAGTTTGGCAGCCCATTGTTAGGTGAGGAAACTCAGCTCCAAATAATTTTCCTTTCTGGAGGTTGATCTTTTTATACCATTCATTAATACACAGCCACAAAGGATGCACGCTAATGGTTTGGATTATGGGGCTGGGAGAGATGGCTCAGTGGTTAGGATATTTGCTGTGCAAGCAAGAGGGCCAGATGAGTTTTCATCCCTAGAACTCATGCCAGTACTGCATGGGGGTGGCAACTCTCCTGTAAACTCCAGCCTTTTCAGACAAAGACGGGAGATTCCCCAGAGAAAGTTGCCTAGTGAGAGTAGTGTAGGTGGAGACTGTATTAGTCTATAAACGTGTGTGTGTGTGTGTGTGTGTGTGTGTGTGTGTGTGTGTGTGTGTGTACAGATATAGACTATCTAGACTATAGAGTAGTATAGATGAGATGAGCTGTAGGTTTGGCTAAGAGACCTTGTCTCCAAAAAATAAGGTAGAAGAGCAGGATTTTACAAGGAAGATTCCAGATATCAACGTTGGGTCTCCACACACATATGTATGTGTGCATGATGCACCACACACAAATGCAAGTGTGCATGTACACACAGACACACATACACACACATACAGAGAGAGAGAAAGAGAGACAGACAGACAGACAGACAGAAGACTAAAGGTTCTTTTTTGAATTAAATGTATTTATTATACAGGTCTGAAAACTCCATTATTTCACAATTATCCCTTTCTATCACCTGATAGTAAACTGGTTGGAAACAGAGAAAGGTGAACAACTACTAAGGAGTCATGAAACATCTGCTCGTGAAGTCACCTGTGTTTCCAAAAGGAAATGTTATCTGAAACACTATTTTATTTTATTCGTTAAAAATTTATTTTATTTTATCTTTCGGGGTATTTTGCCTGCATGTATGTTTGTGCACCACGTGTATGCCTGGTGCCTGTGGAGGTCAAAAGGAAGCATTTAATCCTCTGGGACTGGAGTTAGGAATGATTGTGAGCTACCGTGCAGGTGCGGGGAACTGAACCCAGGTCCTCTGAAGGGCAGTCAGTGCTTTTAACTGCTAAGCCATCTCTTCAACTCTTGTTTTAATTTTCTTCCTCTGTCTTTCCCTCCCTCCTTCTCCATAATTCCAGCCTTTTAAGACAGAGCCAGGACAGTCCCCAGAGCAAGTTAGCCAGTGAGACTAGATGTACAGGTGAGTGTGAGTGTGTGTGCATGTGTGTGGGTGAGAGCTGTAAACATGCCTGTCTTTGAGCAGAGACCAGAAGAACGTGTCAGACAGGAGTTTTAGCATTACAGACATTTGAGGGAACCCGAATTCTAGTGTGAATTCTGGGGCCTCAATTTCCCCAGTGCTCATGTTGGCAAAGCACGCCATTGCAGAGATGCTGAACTGTCTTCACGGATATTGTTTAGTATTTCAGCCCTGTGTCCAAACAGCTCACAAAGTAGGAGTTTAAAGGAAAACTAAACTTAAAACTAAGCCACACCAAGTGTATTTTATTCTGCTTTGCTCTCTGACCCTTATGAAGTGAGTGCTGGAGATGGAACATAAGACCTTTCATATACTAGCAGATCTATAGTATGATCTGAGATAAACCCTCAGATCACATCTTAATTCTTTTAAAAAGTCTGAAAATAGACTGACAGGTTGGTACCTTCCTATAATACCTGTAAAACCTAGGCAGGAAGATTATAAGCACAAGGCTTACTTGGCTTCAAACTGAGTTCAGAGTCAGCCTAGACAACTTAATGAGATATCTCAAAATAAAATTAAAAAATAGCGGGGGTGTTTCAAAAAAAATGCCGTGGATAATCTTCTTGTTATGTGAGTGTGAGGACTACAGTGTGGATCCCAGCGGTGATATCAAAGCTGGGAAATGTAGCAGGAATCTTAAAAGTTCTTATTAATAAAATCAAACCTGAGGCCAGTTATTGGGGTGAACACTGGAAGGTCACAGAGACAGAACAAGCCACAGCTATCTCACCTCGCTGGATCCTCAGCTGGTCTTATCTCCTCAGACTGGAGGCCTCTGAGTCCTCATCTGGAATGGGTCTCAGCTGAATTACTTACTGCTCAAAAGCCTGAATGCTTAACCAGCTGAATGCTTAACCAGCCAAATGCTTAACCAGGCCAAAATGCCTCTAGTTTCTGGTCCTCACGCCTTATATACTTTTCTGCTTTCTACCATCACTCCCTAGGATTAAAGGCTTGCTTTTTGGGATTAAAGGCGTGAGTCACCATGCCTGGCTGTTTCCAATGTGGCCTTGAACTCACAGAGATCCCAGATGGATTTCTGCCTCTGGAATGCTAGGATTAAAGGGGTGTGTTATCACTGCCTAACTAGTGGCTTTTCTGTTCTCTGACCCCAGATAAGTTTATTAAGGTATACAATATTTTGGGGAACACAATACCACCACAAGGAAAACATGGTAGCTTGCTTGTAATACCAGCCCTTGGGAGGCAGAGATGGGAAGGGAGTCTGTGCAGCAAACTGGCGTAGCCAGAATCAGTAAGTTCTGGACTCAACAAGAAACCTGCTTCAATAAACTAGAGAATGATGGAGAAAGATGTCAGGCATCAACTTCAGGTCTCTGTATGCATGTGCACATTTATTCAAGTACATCTGCATATGTACATAGAAACACATGCTTGTAAAACACATATGCATATATATGTCAAAAATAACTAAAATAAGAGCTGGGGATGTAGCTCAAAGGTTATAGTGCTTGCCTGTGTTATATGAGGCCCTGGTGTCAATCCCCACAACTGGAAAAAAAAAGGAAGAAAATGTGGTACAGACTGAAATGGCATTAAGGCACGCGAGTGTGTGTATGTGTGTGTGTGTGTGTGTGTGTGTGTGTGTGTGTGTGTGTGTGTGTGTATCTGTCTGTCTGTTTGTGATAAGCATGTGTGTGGAGACCAGATGTCAATGCCAGGTGTTCCTCAGGCTTTTTGAGACAAAGTCTTTCACTGACTAAACTGACTGGCCAGGGACCCTCAGCCATACACACCTGTCTCAGTCTTCTTGTTGATGGAATTCCAAGTATGTGCTATCATGCTCTTTTTAGAAGAGAGTTTTACATACATAAGTATATAGTGAATTTTAGTCATTTTCATACTCCATTAGTCCCCCTTGCCTCGTCTCCCTCTCTTGCTAAAGCCCTTCTTCTCAACAAATCCGCATCTGACCTTCATGTCTCTTTTAATGTGTGACATAGTGAGCAATTAAGGTTACTTGCATGAGCATGGGTCCGAGGTTATTTACTGGACCATGGGCAACTTATTAGGGGGCTACACCCCTGAATAAAATGGTAGTCCATTCGCCAACAACCATAACTGCTGATAGTCCCTCAGGGAGAGGTAGGGCCTCATGACCTTCTCTCCATCCTCGATGACGTGTTGACAGTCTTGTGTGGGTCTTGTGCATGGAACCACAGCTGCACTGAGCTTATGAATGCAATGGCCATGCCACGTCTAAGAGACATCTTTTGATGGCACACCTCCCTACCTCAAGCTCTTACATTTTTTTTTTTTTCCTGGCCCCTGTTCTGCAGTTTTTCCTGAGCCTTGAAAGAGGTGATATATACGTCCTGGATATGTCTTTGCTTCCCATCCTCACTTACCTTCAGTACTTTGGCCAGTTGAATCTCTGCATGAACCTCCACCCACTGCGGTATGAAGAGTCCCTGAAGACGTCTGGGAGACATAGTAATCCATGGGTGTAAAGGTAAGTAGAAAGGCCTGGCATTTTTATGCAGTGCTCCTAGGGATGGAAGTCAAGGTCGCATGCTTTCCTGGCAAGCATTTAACCACTAGGCCATCTCCCGGCCCCATGATATTTTGTTATTTGGCTTTTAATGCCTATGCTTCACATAAGAACTAGAATATTCTTTGTTGTGATTTGTTCTATCAGAATATGGCTATCTCGTTTCCTCTTGTGTTGATTTTTTTTCATTCTGTGGTAGATTATGGTAGAATTTGATAGGTAAAGTTTGAATAATTTTGCACTCATCCTATGAAAAAACACTTTCAAAATTTTAAATATGTTAAAAAGTCTGTTGGCTCAAAAATTACTTTAAAATCATACTAGCTAAGAATGTGTGCAATATTTAGTCAGAGAACATAAAACAAAATTTCCTATAAAACATGAACAAACTCTAACCAACAATAGAAAATTATATAAAAATATTATGCTACATACATAAAATAGCATGTGTCTATTAAAATAATTATTGTATATAAATATATCTTAACATGGAACATATTTATAACTAAATGTAAGTAAAATGGAACAGGATATACTAAGAAATATATATTTTGTCCAAAATTTTAAAACTATCCCTTAATCCTTATAATCAAAGTTTTGTTTATTTGGTTTGGTCTTGAGGCAGGGTCTCACTGTGTAGCCCCGGATGTCACAGAGCTGATATGTAGACCAGGCTGGTCTAGAACTTATAAAAATCCACCTGCCTCTGACTCCTGAGTCTGGGATTAAAGACATGAACCCCCACATCTAGCCTTATAATCCAAGTTTTTAAACTTGGAATGTATTCACACCACCAAAATTTAATAGTTATAATTCTACCTGTGGAATTTTATCTATTTAACATACTAAGAAGATCTGTATATTCTGTATATTTACACTTTTCTATACAAATGTGTCCCTCATTTTTACAAAATAATATTTTGCATTTTATTAAGTGTTTCTGCCCAATAATTAAGTGTAAAAATAAATTTTACTGTCCTTCAATTCATATTAGTAGTTTTATTACACAAAGTTCTACTTTAAAATATTCCTTTAGTTTACTTTGAAAACCCTTTGAAATGAAAAGTGATGTTGTCTTGGAATCAGACTTACTTGAGTAAATATTTGAGCAAGGAGGAACTCTTGATCATAACAACCCAGATGGGAAATGACCAAGGGCGGTGAGCTGGATGAACTTTGAAGTATTCATTCTACTTTCATAATTCATGGAAGGTGCCTAGGGATGTTGTGGACCTTAGACCCTAATTCACATCAAATAAGACTTTGCTTTTAGAAGATTCTGGTGAGACTAATATAGTGATTAAAAATTTAGTCTGGGCAATTAGTCATGAAGTCTAAAGTTAACCATTTGTCAAAACTTGTAAGTAAAATGTGAGTTAGGTTGTAAGTAAAAAGTGAGTCTGGTTTCATGGTTCAGAGTTCTCACATCATTAAACATCTAGGTAAGGGCCTCTCTTTGAAATGTAGTCTCTCAGAATACAGTGGGAGTCACTGATTAGCTTAACAAATTCAACCAACATCAATATTACAAATCACTATCAATTTATTCTCTTCGAAATGTTCTAATTATTAACCTCAAAGGTGAAAGGAAAGGTTTACAAGAGTTAGAATTTTGTTTGATGTTTTAATTTCTGGTACAACATGTTTAGTTAGAAGTGGTTTTTCAAGGGTAGGCTGGCAGAATACTTTTATTGCTTTACTTAAATTACATGTATACTTGCTAGGACTATATTTTAAAGGCACGTTTCTGAACTTTTTTTCCTTCTGGCATTTGAAATTTTGGAGCTAACATGAAACATAACAATTCTAGAAGTATAGAAGTTATATTCTCAAAGTGTTTTTTCCTTTAGGGGATTTTTTTTTCCTTACTGGAAATATTTCACAATGGTGGCAACTTAGAAAGGGTAATCTTATACTTTTTAACACTCAGAAGAATCACTCTCTCCTAGGGATTAGCTCAATGTTTATATTTTAAAAATGGTCAATCCTGAAACCATATATATACAAACAACAAAAACAGACTCAGCAGGTTGTAGTCCTATATTTATGCATTTACATATATGTAACAATAATAATCAAAGACAGGAGACCAATTTGAGGAGTAGTGGTCAGTTGGAGGGAGAAAGGAGAAGGGGTAGAAAGGTTTAATTAAATTTTAATTTAAAAATTAATTGGATCACGCTGGGTGGTGGTGATGCATACCTTTAATCCCAGCACTTGGGAGGCAGAGGCAGGTGGATCTCTGTGAATTCGAGGCCAGCCTGGTCCCACAGGCACCAAAGCTACAGAGCTATATCTCGAAAAAAAATTAATTGAATCAGGTTAAGAAAAAGATACAACAGAAGTGAGAGGAGGTTTGGTGGGTGTGAAAATGCAGCTTTTTTCATTTGGTTAGATAGGTGCACTGAATATGGCTGAGCTGTCAGACGAGCTAGAGATGGAAACTTCATGTCACCTCCTTTATTTCTTTTGCAATGTTTTATTAGCATATTTTAAATTGTATGTAACAATGAATCACAGTATGACATTTTCACGTATGAGTGTGATGTATTTTGATTATATTCACCTTCTATCACCATTTCTTTCTCTCACTCCCGTGTCCTCTTTAGTTTCTTATCATTGGCCTGGGGACACTTCCTGTCCTGTTGTTCTATTGCTTAAAAGGAAGGGCAGCTAGAGTGAACCTCATCAGGGAATCCTAGTATGGGTGACTTAGGGTTTCTATTACTGTGATAAAGTACTATAACCATAAACAACTTGGAAAGTGGAGAGGTTTATTTCCACTTACAACTCTGAAGTCACACTCCATTGCTGAAGGAAGTCAGGACAGGAACAAAACAGGGCAGAAACCTGGAGGCAAGAACTGGTGCAGAAGTCATGGAGGAGTGCTGCTTACTATGCTTCCCACTGTTGTTATTGGTTTTTGCTCTCTTGGGGGCCCACCACCCAGCTCCCAAATAAATCACACACTGCAGGCTAATACTTATAGATGTCTGGCTGTAGCTTGGCTTGTTTCTTGCCAGCTTTTTTTTTTTAACCTAAATTATCTCTGTTTATCTTTATTTGTTGTTGGTGGTCTTTTCGAGACAGGGTTTCTCCACATAGTTTTGGTGCCTGTCCTGGATCTTGCTCTGTAGATCAGGCTGGCCTTGAACTCACAGAGGTCCACCTGGCTCTGCCTCCTGAGTGCTGGGATTCCATGCATGTGCCGCCACTGCACGGCTTCTGTCTATCTTTTGTCCCTGGGCTTTTTCCGTTCTCTTACTTCTGTAAATCTTACTCTTACTCTGTTGCTTGCTGTGTAGCTGGATAGCTGGCCCCTGGGTCCTCTTCATTCTCTGGCTCCTTATTTCCTCTCCCAGATTTTCTTCTTCTATTAATTCTTTCTGCATGCCAGCCACACCCATCCTTTCTCTTCCTTATTATTGGCTGTTCAGCTCTTCATTAGACCATCAGGTGTTCTAGACAGACACAGTAAACAGCTTCACAGAGTTAAACAAATGTAACATAAACAAAAGTAACACATCTTAAAGTAATATTCCATAACACCTCATGGCTTACTTAACTTGCTTTCTTGTAGTACCTAAGATTAGCCGCCTAAGAATGGCACCACTCCCTGTGGGAGGGGCCCTCTCAAATCAATTATTAGTCAGGAAAATGTACCACATGCTTACCCACAGATCACTTTGGTGGGGGCATTTTTTCAATTGAGGTTCCCTATTCCAAATGACTCTAGCTTATGTCAAGTCGACGTAAAAATCAGCCAACACAAAGGGTGAATAGTGCATAACTATCCTAAAGATCAACTGTTGGAATACCAAATGGAACCTTATCCTTTTTACTACACAGATGACAGGGTTACAATTAGAAGAAAAGCTTTGTTTCTTGTGGAAAATATTAAGGACCACTGGAGGGGAGCACAACTGGGTACTTGCAAGAAGGTTCACAAATTGTGGTTAGAGTTAGTGAGTAGGATTGGCTGCTGGTGTCAACTCTTATTCATCAGCCAGGGCAAACTGTCATTCAGTTGTTCTAATCATGGCCACTAACTCATATCATTATGGTTCTTCTGTACAGAATTGTCCTTGGTAGGACCTATCTCTCTAGGAAGTGCCAAGTTCACCCTTTTCTCTTTATGGAGGTGTAGAAAGCTGGCCCATTGCCTATGGTCAATCTAACTCTGTGGTTCAATTTGTCCTCTTCTATTTTCCCAAGGGATCAGACTAAAATTAATTTCTACCTGAGATGTCATGCTCGCATTGTATCTCTTGTCTATCCGCCTTTTCTCATTTTATTTTTCTCACACACACTCTTTCAGTAGTTCATAATATATCAAGGATCATCTCAGTCATTTTTATTTTCAGGAAATAAGACACAAGATATAGTTAAATTTCAACCACATACTAGAGCCAAGTAGCCCAAAGTGATTATGACTAGTCATATGCAGTTAGAAAAATAAAATACTATAAACATTCAGTTCCTTAGCCATCCTAGCCACAGCTGAAGATGGAGCAAGAACACTGAGGCAGATCATCTAATAGAGCCTCTGTGTTAAGGGCAAAGAAATGATGAGGAACTTTTACCCTTTAGAGCACCAAGGAAAAACATATACATAAGCCTCAAACCTACTGGAACTCTTAAGTAGTTAACTTCTAAAGATATGACTCATAAACAGATAGCCTTCAACCCTTACATCAAAGGCACAATAAAAGTATCAAACTCTAGAGACTAGAAAATAGATATCCAAATCTCTGATGTTCTACACAAAATACCCACCCCAGCTGTTGTAGTTTAAATAATAATTATGAGCCCATAGTCTCATACATTTGAATGCTTGGTCACAAGGGAGTATAACTATTTGAAATGATTACAAGGATTAGGAGGTGGGTGTGGCTTTGCTGGAGGAGGTGTGGCCCTGTGGGAGGAAGTGTGTTTTTAGGGATGGGCTTTGAGGTTTCCAAAGCACATGTGAGGTCCAGTGCCTCTCCCTGCTGCCTGTGGATCAGCTCTCAGCTCCAGCTCCAGGCCCATGCCTGCCTGCCATCATGCTCCCCACTATGGCGATAATAGACTAACCTCTGAAACTGTAAACAAACCACCAGTTAAATGTTTTCTTTTATAAGTGTTGCCTTGGTCATGGTGTCTCTTCACAGCAGTAGAACAATTGACCAAGACACCACCTTTCAATAAAAAAAAAATGGAGAGTCAAGAAAAGTCAAATGCAACAATCTGTTGTGGGAGACTCAGATGTGACACAACATTGGAATTATGATTTCAGAGACGCTAGGACAATGGGGCATCTGTTGAGAAAAGCTTTAGGCAGAATGGAAGTCACCCAAGAGAGAGGCTTTGTTCTGTGTGTCACAGAACAAGCAGGACAGGGTTACTCCAGACTGTGGTAGCCCAAATAATGCCACTGAGAGTCCCTGGTCCAGATGTGATGCTGCAGCACTTATTTCTTCCTGCTGTGTTTTATTCTTATTTTGCTCCTAACTCTCCTTGCTCTGACCCTTTCTTTTCTTTTGCAAATCATTTTTTAAAAAATAAAAACTTCGTGCTACTGTATATTAGAGGTATAGAACTTCTAAAATTTAATTTTACAGGCATTCCTTGTTGAAAAATTGTCTTGAGTCAAAGAAAAAAACCTTGGGCTTTTGAAGAGTGTTTGGAATGTTGGAACTTAGGAGATGCTTAGAAATAGGCTAAGCACATTTTAAATTATTAGATAAACTTAAGACTTTAGAGGCCAGGGGTGAACTGCTGTAGCTTAAAATGATGTGGTTATCAAGTTGATAATGGATCAACTTTTGATGACTTATTTCTTTGTCAACTGGGTAGCATTTAGGATCACCCAGGATACCTACCTCTCAGGATACCTGTGACGGTGTTTCCAGCGAGGATTACCTCAGGAGAGAATACCATTCTGAATATGGGGGACACTGTTCCATGGAAGGGGTATCATAGACTGAATAAACATGGAAAAATGAGAAATTGAGCTGAACGTTGTTTTTATTTTTCTATGTTTCTGGGTTGCACATACAAGTTGACTGGCCACTTCATGATTCCCCTGCCATGTTTTCCTTGCCATGATGAAACAGATCTCCTCAAACTTAGAGCCAAAATAAATCCTTCTTCCCTTAAATGTGCCTTTTGTTAGCACTGAAAAAAAGTATTTCATGCAACTAAAGAAGAGAGTAGCCAAAGAGAGCTTTTCTTTTTTGATTATATCTTAAAAATATAAAAATGCCCAAACATGCACACATATGTACAGGTGTATGCCTACACACAGAGAACTATTTGTTCATTTGTTTATGGAAGGTCTTGCTATGTACCTTAGCCTGATCTCTAACTCATAGTTCTTTCCTCAGCCTCCAGAGTACTGGGATTACAGCTGTAGGCCATCATGCTAAGCATTGCATTTTAGTTTTAAATCTTTTAAGAGACTCTGAGAAGACCAGGTAGACTGCCTGCATGCCTTCTCTGCTCTCTCTGTTCCCCCAGACACAATCGCTCAGATTCCCTCCTAGTGATACAACAGAACACCATCTGAAGCCCCCCTTCACTATGCCTGTCCACATCTCCTGTGGATCCCACACACCGTCTCCTCCTTACCTCCCTTTCCCCAATGTGTCCCAGCTCCCAACTTGGGTGGATGCTCCCTGCTCCACCACAGGCCATGTCTGCCAGAAGACCAAGTAGCCTGGCCACAGACTTTCTCTCTTCTCTGTTTCCCCTGACTTGATCCCTTAGGCTCTTCCCTAACGCTAAAGCAGAACAGCAGCTGCATCCTCCCTTTTGTTACTCCCACAGACCACCCCCTTCTAACCTCCCTCCCCTCACTGGTCACTGTAGCCCAGCTGCCAACTCAAGCAGATGCCCCCTGCAAAACTGTAATAAAAAGTTGAATGGTCAATAGCTAGGCAGGAGGTATAGGCAGAGAGAGAACTCTGGGAAGAAGAAAGGCAGAGTCATCAGCTGGACATGGAGGAAGCAGGATGTGCAGGAAGAGAGGTAACAGCCATGAGCCACGTGGCAAGACATAGATTAATAGAAATGGGTTCATTTAAGTTATAAGAACTGGTTAGGAACAACCTTAAGCTTTAGGCTGAGCTTTCATAATTAATAAGACATCTCCATTGCATTATTTGGGAGCTGGCTTGTGGGACAGAGAAACTCGTTACATACTACCATAGCTGAAATCACATATTGACTCTTACACATTGAAAATGGGAAAATTCAATACCCCACTCTCACTGATGGACAGGTCATCCAGATAAAAACTGAATAGAAATACTGGAGAAATACTGAATAGAAATACTAGATGTTATAAACCAAATGGATCTAACAGATAGCTATAAAATATTTCTTTCAAACACAAAAGAACATACCTTCTTCTCAGCACCTCATGGAACTTGCTCCAAAATTGACTACTCAAACACAAAACAAGTCTAAATAAATACAAGAAAATTGAAATAATTCCCTACCTCGTATCAGACCACCACAGATTAAAACTGGATATCCAGCCTGGGCTACAAAGTGAGTTCCAGGAAAGGTGCAAAGCTACACAAAGAAACCCTGTCTTGAAAAACCAAAAAAAACCAAAAAAAACCAAAAACTGGATATAGGTAACAGAAACAACAGAAAGCTTCCAGATTCATGAAAACTGAACAACTCTACTTAATGAATAATGAAAGGGTCAAGACAGAAATAAAGTAATTCAAGACTTTCTAGAATTCAATGGAAAAGGAATACACAGTATACCCAAACTTATGGGACACAATGAAAGTGGTGCTAAGAGGAAAGTTCATAGCACTGAGTGTCTACATTAAAAAAAAAAAAAAAAAAAAAACGGAGAGAACTCACACTAGTCACTTAACAGCACATCTGAAAGCTCTAGAAGAAAAAGAAGCACACCCAAAGAGGAGTAGATGGTAAGAAACAGTCAAACTGAGAGCTGAAATCATTAAAATAGAAACAGAGAATGCAAAGAATCAATGAAACAAAAAGATGGTTCTTTGAGAAAGCCAACAAGATAAAGAACCCCTATATAAGCTAACTAAAGGATTTAGAGTAAATATCCAAATTAACACACAAACAAAAAGGATATAGCAACAGTCTCAGAGGGAATCCAGAGAATCATAAGGACATACATTAAAAACATGTCCTCTACTAAATTAGAAAATCTAAAAAGAAACGGATAATTTTCTTGATAGGCACCATTTACCAAAATTAAATCAAAGTCAGATAAACAATTTCAGTAGATCTATAACCCTAGTGAAATATAGACAATCATTAAAAGTTTCCCAAACATGAAAAAGACCAGATAAAGATGGTGTTAGTGCAGAATTCTACCAGAATATAAAAGAAGAGTTAATGCCAATCCTCCTCTAATTATTACACAAAATAGAAACAGAAGGAACATTGCCCAATTCATTTTATGATGCCACAGTTATCCTGATTCCAAAACCACATAAAGGCTCAACAAGGAAAGACAATTACAGACCAATTTGCCTTATGAACATAGATGCAAAAATACTCAATAAAATATTGGCAAACCGAATCCAAGAACACATAAAAAATTATCCACCATAATCAAGTAGACTTCATTCCAGAGATGCAGGTGTATGGTTAAATATATAAAAATAATCAGTAAAATGTAATCCACCATATAAACAAATTAAAAGAAAAAAAATGATCATTTCATTAGATGCAGAAAAGGCCTTTGACAATATACAATACCCCTTCATGATAAAAGTCCTAGAAAAATTAGGGATGCAAGGAATGTGTATACCTAAGCATAATACAAGCAATTTACAGAAAGCCTACAGCCAACATCAAAATAAATGGAGAGAAACTCAAAGCAGTTCCACTAAAATTAGGAACAAAATTTTAGTTCTGTTGTTCACTCTCTCCATATCGATTCAATAGTACTTGAATTTTTAACTAGAGCAATAAGACAACTGAAGGAGATCAAGGGGATACAAATTGGAAATGAAAAAGTTGAAGCATTGTTATTTGCAGGTGATATGATAATATACATAAGTGATTTGAAAATTTTCATCAGGGAACTACAACAGCTGATAACACCAGCTGGATACAATATTAACAAAAAAATCAGTAGCCCTCCTATATACAAATGACAAAATGGACACCTGATTTTTGATGAAGAAGCCAGAAATGCACACTGGAAAAAATCAAAACAAAATAAAAAACCAGCATCTTCAACAAATGGTGCTGGTCAAATCGGATATCTGCATGTAAAAGAATACAAATAGATCCATATCTATCACCCTGCACAAAACACAAGTCCAAGTGAATCAAAGACCTCAACATAATTCCAGATATATTTAACCTGATAGAAGAGAAAGTGGGAAGTAGCCTTGAATGTATTGGCACAGAAGACAACTTTCTGAACAGAACACCAACAACCCAGGCACTAAGATAAATAATAAATAACACCCCATGAAACTGATAAGCTTCTGTAAGGGAAAAGACACTATAAATTGGACAAAGTGTCAGCCTACAGAATGGGAAGAGATTTTTATCAATGCCACATCTGAAATAGGACCGATATCCAAAATATATAACAAACTCAAAAGACCAGATATTAAAAACTCCAATAATCCAATTTTAAAATGGGGTACAGATCTAAACAAAGAATTCTCAAATGGCTGAGAAATACTTAAATGTTTAACATCCTTATCCACCAGAGAAATGCAAATTAAAACTATTTTGAAATTCTGTTCTACACCTATCAGAATGGCTAAGATTCATTCCACAAATGACAGCTTCCATTGGTAAGGATGGGAAGGATCAAGGGGAACACTTCTTCATTGCTGATGGGAGTGCAAACTTGTACAGCCACTTGGAAATCAATATGGTGATTCCTCAGAAAATTGGAAATCAATCTTTCTCAAGACCCAGCTACACCATTTTTGGGGGCTTATACCCAAAGGACACCCCATTCTACCACAAGGACACTTGCTCAACCATGTTCATTGCAGGTTTATTCACAATAACCAGAAACTAGGAACAACCTAGATGTCCTGCCACTGAAGAATGGATAAACAAAATGCAGTACATTTGCACAATGGAATATTACTCAGGCATTTAAAAAAAGGAGAAGTCATGAAATTCTTAGGTAAATGGATGGGACTAGAAAAAAAATAGTTGTTAGGTAAATGATACCAAGCTAAAAATCTACAGACCCAGAAAGGTCAGGTGAAGAGGAGGAGTCTAGGAGCAAAGTATGGATCTCCCTGGGAAGGGGAAATAGATTTTTCTGGTAGACTGGGGGCAGGTGGGGTGGGAAGTGGGAATTGGATGGAAGGAGAGAGTATTGGGAGTGATGCTGGAATTGGGGGGCATGTGAGGGGGTGGTGTGGAAACCTAGTGAAGTGGAAACTTTCTGGTATCTGAGGGTGGCCCTAGTGAGTACTCCTAGTAATGAAGGCTACAGAGTCTTAATTGGCCATCTCTTGTAGTCAAGCAAGACTCCCAGTGGCAAGACTGAGTTGTATTCAGTTTGGTTGTTGGCCAAGGAGAACATGTGGAGATCCCCAAACAACTCAGGGTGATTCTCTCAAATATATATAACAAACGGAGAGTCACTCTCCTCAAACTGACGATGGGACTCCAGTGCTGGGGAGAGCATCTACATAGCTCATTGAAAGTGGAGAGGTAAAGTTGGTGCCTGCATGGAGGAGTTACCCTGTTTACTCTAGTCTCTTTGGTGCTAGAAGGTACTCTGTAGGCTACCAAAAGAGAAATGTGGACATCAATCCAGCCACAAAACTTTTGACCAACAATTTGTCCTGCTTGCAAGAAATACCAGGACAATGGTGGTGTAGAACTTGCAATAGAGGTCCACCCAATGTCTGATTAAACTTGAGGCACACTCCATGAGAGAGAGAGCCCATGCCAGACACTGCTTGGACGGCCAGGAACTGGAAATGAGATAGTCCAGTGACCTAGGGTAGAACCAAAC